GTCCCCTGTAACCAGAGCTCTGGGCCTCTTGGGGCTCAGAGGTGACGCATAACCCAGGCCTGCAGTCCTCTCTCTTGACGCCCGCGCAAGCCCGGCTCTGCCACACGGCCCCGTGATGAACCGCATCCACTGCCCTAGTCTGGGCGCCTCAGTGGTTAGATGCAGCACGCTGAATACAGAGAGCTCTCCCGGGCTACCTCCTCTGCACGCCACCCAGGGGGCGGCGCGTCCTTTCTCCTTTTGAAACATGCAGGCGATGTCACAGCTTTTATTTTTTTCCCCCCTGGGGTCCTCGATGGGCTTTAACAAAGGGTTTTTCTGGTCAAAGCCTCTCATCCCCCACCACAAACAAAACCCATAGAACCCCTCTCAGAGCCAGTTTGTACTGCTCTTGCTGAGTGGGTTTCTCGTAGCATTTGGCTGGGGAATGGCCGCTTCCCAGTGCCCCTCTCGCGGTGCCTGAGGAAGCTCTCGACTGGGAAGAAGATCAGACAGATGCTGCTAGGCCAGGCGGTGGGGCTTCTGGAAGGCGGGTCTAGGTGTGGAGCTGGTAGAGAAGCCCCTGGGGGACTGGGCACATGGGATATTATGGCCTGCACTGCCTCCCCCACCCCTATTCTAGTAAGTTCTGAAATGATGTAAATTATTTGTACACCAGATGCTGAGTTGTACACCAGATGCTGAGACTCTAGGATGTAAAAGAATATAGGCTGTTTTGGGGCAGCAAACTGACCACCCTAAAGACAGTTCAGAGAGGATGCAGCAGAAAAGAGGCCAGGGCGTCTGCTGATGGAAGTCCCTGCCCTGTCCTTGAGCTGATTCTGTTCGAGTGCTGCTCAGGAAGCCCAGGCCAGTAATTATGGGCAGGGGGTCTTTGTGTGTTCGCCTTTAAGGCCTTACAGGGAGAGACAGGCAGGGGCCTGCAGAGGAAACCGAATGTGAAGCAGGGGCTGGGCACCCAGCTCCCCAGTCTCCAGCTCAGGAACAGACTCCAGGCTTGGCAGCCGCCTGCCCCACTGAGTGACCAGGCCTGGGAGGCATGGGCACCTAGGAGGTCTCCAGGCCTGGGAGGCATGGGGCGGGGTGGGGAGGTTTGGGATTTCGGCTGAGGTTGGGAAGGACATGTTTGTTTAACAGGCCAAAGTGAGAGACAGCAGGGCTAGTCATCTTTTGTGGGTTACGTGAGCGAAAAGGACCCTAGCTCGGTGGGTGTTCCTTGAACATCTACCCCAAGAGCTGGGGTCACTTCTCTGCTCTGTCAATATGGCTAGGGGTCTGACCTTCAGACTGTTCGTCAGGAAACAGCATGGAGGCAGCATTGTTGAGCCTGCTCAGAGGGAGAAAGGAGCCAGATTGGGAAGGAGCACTTGTCTGCTGCTCCCACACAATGGGGCCCTTGTTTCTCTTCCTTGAAACAATATTTCCCAGAGATTGAGTGACAGCCCAGGAGAGGATGTGGGTCTCCTGCAGGGAGCTGGAATCTTCTAGGCCATTCACCCCACCCCTGCAGGAGCCTAGCTCCGGAGTTTCCTGCCCCTGCGCATGTGCTAAGTGTGTTTGTGTATGTGGGGGGGGATCATCCCGGTGCTGCTCGTGTAAACTGCTCCTCGGTCCAGGGTTCACCTTCATCCAGTCCGGAGCTTGACTGCCTCCTCTGAGTACTGGCCCTCCAAGGTTAAGGATTTGAACAAAGAGCTGTGAGGAGTAGTGTGTTAATAAACACTTCAGAGGGTAGAGGTCACAGGTCTCAGGCGGTGGATACCATTTCTCATCCAAATCTCTATCACTCCTTTACACATACTCAGGACCTCAGGGTTTCTACGGACTTCTACAGCTTCCCACCGAGATAGTCTGGCTTTAATGTGGAATGAAATTATGTATTTTTAAAAAACATGTATATTTTTTAAAACTTGTATTTTAAAATGTTCTGTTCCTTGCTCTAAATTATGAAAGTTGATGTTTTCAGTTTCTAGGAAAACAGTAACGTTGCTTTTTACTTGTGGGTAGTGGTTGACAGCCATCTGCTCTTTTGAGGGCTCAGGGGCTGGGGACCCAAGCTGCTCAAGCCTTAATGAGGGCTGGGCTGGCGCAGCCTTAGCAGGGCTGCAGTTCTGGTTTAACGACAGCATTTTCAACCAGAGCCTGGGTCTAGAACCTTCCATTCTTCCCCTCGTACCTGGACAGTTACCCCTTGTCAGGTCTACTCCCTCCCTTGGTGTTACCACTTAGCTTTGCCTTTCCCATCCACCCACCCAGGCCCCAGCCTTCTAGTCTCCCCTAAATGTGGGGAAGGAGCCTGTGTTCCTACTCCCCTTTCCCTGAAGACCCAGGGTCGTTTGCCTTCACTGGTCAGAACACAGGGCTCTCCCTGCACCCTCTTGCCTTGGTGCCTTTCTTCTCTCCCCATTCTCCAGGTCCTCTCCGTATAAACTCTTGTCCCCAGCTTCAGCAAAAACAGAAACCTGGAGCCACAACAGAAGCGGGGGGGACACACAGTTGGGGTATAGACATGGGTAGCGCGATCATGGGAAGTGCATCACGGAAACCATAGGCCAAACTCTGCTTGAGGAAGCCCCAGGAGGGCCTCCAAGCTCAGCCCTGTCTGGCCCCTGCCCAGCTGATAGACAGCCGGTGGCCTGGGGGCACCGGGCCAGATTATAAAGTACCCGTCAATCATTATTTCAGGATCCTGACACAATAATCCTGGAGGAGGATAGAACAAGGGGGACGAACAGGTATCACTGAGCCCATTTTTCAGAGGAAAGTTAGAGGTCAACTGTCCACCCAAATCCATCTGGGAAGCTAAGTGTCAAGGCCAGGCCCCAAACCCTGGGCATCTGCCCCAAGGCCAAAGCTCTTTCCAACCCCAGGTCCTTCCTTCTCCCATCGCGGCAAAGAGGACACAGGACAACTAACAGGAGAAGCAGGGGCCTTTATTGGGGTCTGGCAGATGTGGAGGTTGGAGGTTAGAGGCGGACTCCCAGGCCTGGGCCTAAGAAAAGGCAGAGAAGAGGCAAAGGGCCCTAGAAGCAGGAAACCCAGCCCTCCCCACCTCCACCCTGCAGCCCCTCCCCCACCCCAGGTTCCTTACTCCAGCCTCCCCCTGCCTCTGGGAACACAGAGCACCAAGAATGGACAAGCAGGACCCTCCAGGGCCACAGCTTGGAGCGGAGTGCAGGATCCAGGCTTCTGTCTGCCCACAGTGGGAGATCTGGGGAGCTCAACGTGCCCCTCTCCACCAGGACAAAGTGGGAACGCTCCTTCTCTGTCCCCCAGAACAGAGCAAACTCTTGTTCTCTGTGTGGGGGGAGAGGAGTGCGGCTTGGGCCTCTAAGGGAAGAGGCTGGAGGTGACGCCCCCAGAGGAGCTCCTAGACCCCACCTTTTACACTTGCAGCGTTCTCCATTTTTCCTTCCCATCAACTCTGGTGAGCAACTCAGAGTCTGGGCAGGGGCGACTGATGGGCCAGTGGGGATCTGCTCCAAAGACATCTGTGGGTTTCAGAGTGAGGGTTTCCCCAACACCCAATTCATCTATATGTACACAGGGCGGCAGGGGCGCAGTGGCCAGGGCTAGTAAGTGTAGCCGCCCTTGGGGCCAAAGGCCTGAGTAGGGCCAGCTAGCTCCGGGAGGTAGGCAGGGCTCTCGTCCAAGTGGGACAAAGGGACTGTGTCCTCCTCACTGACCGGCCGGTCAAACTCGGCCTTGAGGGCTGGACGCTGATTGTCCGGGAAGGCCAGAGAGAACAGGGCCTCAGGCTCACACACAAACTTGTACACGTAGCGCTCGCCGGCCACCTGTGGGAAGAGAGGGGCTGGGTGGGCCTAGCTCTCCCTCCAGGTCGGCGGGGGACAGGGGGACGCCGGTCCAGCAGACGCGTGGGGCGCATCTCTCTCCTGCGCTGGTTCCTCTGAGAGGCCCGCTCCCTGCACACTTCCTGTTCTCCAACCTCCCTGTCTCCACGCTTCGGGCTTTTCAGTTACTGTGTGGCACTTTCTTGGGAGAGGGAAATCTTGTCCACAGTTTCTCATTCCCTCTGACTGGGGCATTATCTGCTCCCACAGACTTGCTGAGAAATGCCCCCCCCGGCCCCGTCATCTTCCCATAGCTGCCGCCCCTCACCCTCCCATCCCTGGGCCCCCGGCCCCCCCACCTTCTGCATGATGCCTTTCTCGTAGTAGTATCGGAGCGAGCGGCTCAGTTTGTCATAGTTCATGGCCGGCCGGTTCTTCTGGATGCCCCAGAGCCTGGCAACCTGGGGACAGGTCAGAGTTTTGGGATGGTGGTGCTAGCTCAGCAGACAAAAAAATGGGGAGGCGGGGGGACAGGTCAGAGAAAGCACCTGAGATTGTCGGTACAAAATGGGAAGCTGGCCCTGCACACCACGCAGCAGCCCCCAGACCCAAGCCTGACAAGAATTCAGGTCAGGTAAGGCAACTCTGCTGGGGAGGCCTCTGCCACATCCCCAGGTCCTCGTATCTCCAGGCCCCAAAGATAATGGGAGGAGAGGTACGGAATCTGAGAGGCCCACCTCCTCAGGCTCTATTAGTTTGAACTCCATCCCCCGGCCGGTCCAGGCAATGAAGTGGGCATTCGTTGGGTCATCCAGCAGGGCCACCAGGAACTGCCACAGCTGCAAGGCCCCCCGGCGCTGGTAGGGCGGTCCCTCTCTGAATGCACCAACCCCTTCCTGCTTGATGTCTCCTGGGGAACACAGAAAACAGCTGTCAGGTTTGTGCCTTCTGGTCCCCCAAGCAACCCCTTCTCCTCTCCGCAGGGGTAATGGGATTCCTGGGGGGGGGGCAGGTGGGGACACAGAGGGCATGGCTCAGATCCTGACCCTCTCATGAACAGTCACTTCTCTGACCTTCAAATTTCTCAGGAACGACACAGACATCATCTGAGAATGGTCGCAGAGGTTTCTCATAGCCATAACCTTGAGGAGGAAGTTGGGGGTTATTCAGATCTGGGGGGTTCACTGCTATGAGCCCCCAGCGTCCAGAGGGACTCCTGGCCAGGAGACCCTCCCCGACAGCAGGACTCCCCCCTCCAACGTGGAGGGCTTGGCAGAGAGGACGGGGCTGCCTTACCCATGGTCCCGTCACCTGGAGAGTGCCCAGAGAAACCCTCTGTGTGAAGGTACATTGATGCACACCCAGGGACATCTGGGAGGGGAGGAAAGAAGGGTGATGTTACAGGTGGCTGCGGGGGGAGGGGGGGTGGCAGTCCTGCCCATATTCAGGAACTTCTTCCTGCCAGCCTGCATTCCGGTTCTTTCCCCAGCTGCCTGCCAACCACCAAATCCCAAGGCAAGTTCACCCAGAGGGAGTGCAAGGCTTGAACCTCTCAGCTTGAAGTCTGGGCCAGAGGGCATGGCCGGCAGCAGCTGGGCTGGGCAAAGCTGTTGCACAAGGCCCAGGATTCCAGGCAACAGCTGTTTCCTGTGAGTTCAGGGGGGAGGAGGGAGGGGAGGGATGAACCTCCGGGGAAAGGGTTCAGTGTCCATGCCTAAGACTCCCTTGGAATGGGCTAACCTCCGGTCAGCAGGTCGGGTTCCTAGCCGGTTCCTAGCGGCGTGTGCGTGTGTGCGTGTGCGTGTGCAGGCAGGGAGGAAACAGAGGAGGATGGGGATTGGGGGAAGACCCGTCGGGAGGGAGGTGGGAGGGAGAGCGAGAGAGCACACCAGAAGGTATCTGGATCTGGGGAAGAGGCGGTGGGCACTGGGCCGTGTTTTTTCAGGTCTGACAGCAGAGCGCATTCACCCCCTTTTCCTTCCATTCCCTAGGATTGAAATAGCCCTACTCCACCTGGAGGAGGCAGGTTGTGTGAAGCCACCCGTTCAAGTTCCAGCCCCTTCTCGCCCTACCCCCCCGCACTCCCACCTATGAATGAGATGGTGAAACCCGACACCTCCGGGAGGAGGCGGGAGGGTGGGCTCATTCATGCCTCCATTTTGTGAATGAAATTCCTGACTCCATTGAGAGGAAGCTCAAGGGGGAGGGGCAGGAGTTCAAGGGCAAGTAACAAGATCTCCTCCGGTCTACGTCCTTTGAAGGTCAGCAACCAGAGCGTTTCCCTCCTCCTTCCTCCACCTCACAGCCAGGCCCGGCTCAGCGTATGCCCCACGTCGGAGAGGCGCACCCTTGTGGTTTCACTCGGGCAGCCCGGGGGTCTGTGGTTCGTCCCCCTCCCCCTAAAACACTGAACTGCAGGAGATGGGAAATTCGAAAGATCTAGCCTGCCCTGAGCCTACTCTAATCTCAGTATTTATTTTTCTCACACGAACTTGCTGATAAACTCAAATTTGGGGATGGTGACAATGTAACAGAAGCCAAGGTTTTCTGGGTCCCTCCTAAATGAGAATGGCCCTCCCTTGGCAGCGGAGGCTTTGCATTCTAGCTGGCCAAGAATCTGGCTGAGTGCCCCTCACTCTTGTCAATGGTCAGGTGGAGCTAGAGTTCAAAGCAGCCCTACTTTCGTACCCAGCTCCATCAGCCTGGAGGCTGGAACAGTAACCCTGCGTTCCTGCTGGGAACGAGGAGCCTGGCTCCTTTCAAGTTCATGTTTCTCTTCATTCAAATCCGTTAGTATTTTTAAGCTTCCGTGGGGACGGGGACCAATGACACATCCTATTCATCTTTGTGCCCTCCAACTCCACACAATTCATGCTCCCAGCCCAGCACCTGGGTCTCAGTAGGTAACTGTAACCTCAAACACTTGCCAGAGAGGAAAAGGAAGAGATGCCTCAACTTTCCTGTTAAATAAACCACAAGCTGCCTGAGGGCAAGGAGCTGCACCCTCTTATCTTTTATCTGAGTAGAAGTGTGCTGACTGAAAAATGACAATTCTTTTGAATCTATGACCAAAAGGGAGTGGTTGGGTGGGTTGGGAAGGTAAAAAAAACAAACAAACACAAAAACCTGTAGGGAGAACTTCTGGGTGTCACGGAGCTGTTCCTAGGATCACATGCCACCCTCCTCAGCAATCCCAGCACAACTCCTCCAACCCCCTTCCCCAGGAGCATTTCTTACCTGAGTCGTAGGCGAAGTCCGTCTGCTCCTGTTTGATCACCACCCCCGCCCCTGGGTACCTGTGCTCATTGACTCCACCCTGGCCCACCGTGGGCTGGCCTGCCTGTTCATACAGGGGGTCCAGGTATTCCTGCTTGAAGCTCTGCGGGGGGTAGGGCGGGCAGGGCTCCGACAGCTGGTGTGGGTAGGGGGCTGGGAGGGCTTCCCGGCCCCCTCCCTGGGAGGAGGTGAAGGAGTGGCAAATATCCAAGGGCTGCTGGAAGACAGAGCTGGATGTGGTTGGGTGGAGAAGGAAGAGAAGATTAACTTAAGCGGTCCCTGTGCCCGCCACTCCCAGAGCTTGCAGACTGGGCTCTGGGGTGGGGGGGGGTGTCAACGTCCCTTCTTCCCCACCTCCCCCCACGCCAGGTCTCTTAGGGGCAGCTGGAGAACACTCAGGGATTGAGGAAGAACCGGTGAGACCTGGGCCCACAGGTTCTGTGGGCCTCCTGTCTCCTTACCTCTGCTCCCCGAGGTACCCGTGGCCAGGGTGGGGCTGGGAGGTGCCAGAGGATCTCAGGAAACTCCGTTGTTCTGCCCGGGGGAAGGGCTGCAGGGGCGACTGTCCGGGGGCACCGGGGGCAGGGGACTTGATGGCGATTTGTCTAGGGGGGTCATAGGCACTGGAGTTGAGGGGGAGACGGGGGTGAGGGGGCAGAGAAGCTGGGCGAGCATCTTTGAACCCTTTATCCCCAGAGAAGGAAAAGCAGGGCACGCTGGGAAAGGAATGGCATGAGCGACGGGGGGCCCCAAGTGAACTCTTTCTCTCCCTTCTCGTAAATCCTGAAAATGGGTGTAATCCTGAGAATGCCTCTCCCCAGCCCACAGCAACTGGGCTGGGCAGGAAAATGGCTTCCTCCAGTGGAAATGCTCTGCCCGGGCCTTAGCACACACCCCTTGAGCCCCCTGCTGCCGTCTCCTGACCACTGGGAGGAAATCCTGAGCCGTGGGGCTCCCTTACAGGGGCTCAGAAATCCTTTGTGTTGTCTAACTTGCATCCCATTGCTGCCTTTACTCCTCCCTCCTCCTCCCTCCTCCCCTTCCCCGGGCCGGGCTGGGGTTCACCTGGAATAAAGGCACTGCTCGCCATGGTGGTAGGGGAGTGGCAGCTTCCTGCCGCAGGACAGGGCCGGCTCTGCGCGGGGACTCTGGGGCTCCTTCTTGATCCTGGTGGTGGGGCTGTGGAAAGCTACTGCAGGAGGGGGAGGAGGCAGACCAAGGCCAGAGAGGGTCACAGAGGACGCAAGGAGAGCTCCCCACACCTTCTGCTCTTTGAGCACCAGCCGGGAGATTCCCTGGGGCTCAGTGTTCAGAGACTCCTGGTCAGACACTTTTAAGGGCAGTTGGGCTATTTACACTATGTCTAGTTTTATACGTCGGGCTAATGTCCAATATTAACCAAAGAGGCTGTCTAAAATTCAACATTTAATGCAACCCCAAGCCCCCAAAAACACCTTTGTAGGCGTGAGCACCTCCAACATAGGGCCTGTGGTTTTCCTGAGTGCCCTGGAAAATTCCAAGGGAGAGACATGTTTTCTTCTTTGGGGCTATAAAGGATCTTTCTTTTTCTGGTTCAGGTTGGATATTCGCCCACTTGCATGTCAGCTGACTACCATTAAGCACATGCTCCTAATTATCTGTGAAGAACATTGGTCTTTCCTGTGGCCCCTGCTGGGTCCGCAAACTCCAGCCACCAGACTGAGCCACAGAGCTGGTTCCAAGCGAGTGTGAGGTTCTGTCTTATGGTGTTGAGCCCAACGCCAGTGGACGGTTCTGTTATCGGCTGTTTTCCTTTATTTGTGCCTTAGTTCATTTCAACGGTGAGTGAAGACAGTTGAGAACGGAGTATCTGACATTAAAGCGGGGTTTCTCAACAGTGCACTGAGGACCTCTGGGCCAGATAATTTTTCTTGTGTGTGTGTGGGGGGGAGGGGGGCTGTCCTGAGCATTATAGGGTGTTTGCAGCATCTCTGGCCTCTACCCACTAAATGCCTGTAGCACCCCACCCTCAGTCGTGACCACCAAAAAATGTCTACAGACGTTGCACATGTCTCCTGGGGGGGGGGGGGAATTGCCCCCCCCCCCAGTTGGATGAAAGTAACTTAGAAGGGTAGAACTGGGCCCCGCTGAACTGGTCCAAGCCCCTCATTTCAGAAATCAGGAAATGGGGGGAGGGGAGCAGAGAGAAGTGTCCACTCGCGGGGCACAAACCCTGATTTGAACCAAGGTCTCCAGCTCCCAGTCACTGCCTTGGTCTTGGCGTCCAAACCCAAGAATGGGGAGCCCCGTTCTTCCCCCTTTTCTTTAGGAGAGAACAAGTTGATCTTTTGTGATTCTCTATCCCTGTGACTCATTTCCTGCCCTCCCCCACTCCCCATTCCCTCAACCCAGGGCCCTCCACTCACAGTTTTCAGAATGGAAATCAGGAACAAACTGCTCATCACTGTCAGGTACCTGGGCTGCAGAGAGAGGTCAGAGGTGAGTCTGGGTGGCGGCCCCTGGGTGGCGGCCCCCGGGAGACACCATTAAGGCAGGCCTGCAGATTAGCACTGGCCCAAAGGGGGAAACAGCCTTCCGAGGACTGAAAGTAACCCCACCCCAGGTCCTAGTGCCCTCCATCTCTGGGCTCCACTAAGACCTTGGAGGCAACGCTGCCAGTTCCCAGAACCTGTCTGAGCAGATTCCAGAGTCTTTTCCTAGATGCTTTGTCTTTATTCCCTGCATTTTTCGGAAGTGAAGGCAGCCCTGCCCCTCAGAGTTCACAAAACTCCCTCTCCGGGCTCCCAGCAGAGTCACATCTGGGATGGGCAGGCATTACATTAAGGGACAGGTCCATTATCCTATGGACCTAGAATAACATGCGGGAGATTCTGAATCGGGGCTGGGCCCAGGAATCTGTGTTTTATACAACCTGCTGGGTGAACCCTGGAAATGGAGAACTTGGGAAAGAAGATGGAGAAAAGGGGGTGGCTCAGGAGAGGTGAATAGGAGGACAGTGGGAGAGGAAGTGGCTGGGGACATGGGCAGGTCACCGTGCCTCGTGTCTTCAGCATGTAGCTAGGAGGGGAAGGTCTGAGAAGCGCTCCCAGGGTGTCAGTGGGGGCGGAGCTGGGTTTGGAAGTGAGGCCTCGATAGCACAGAGGTCATCCGTCGCCTCCAACCTGGACCTTCGGGCTCTGATTTCTAGTTTCTTACCCTGGCCTCTCCAACTCCTTCAGGTGGGCATATGGCTGAGGACCACCCCCTCTCCAGAATAGATCAAAGCAGGAAGGGGAAGGGTAGACACCAAGAACTTCCTGATAGCAGAAAGAGTGGCTTGAAGGTGAGGGTTTGGAAGATGAGGAGACTGCTCTTAGAGTGGACAATGGGGAAACTGACGGATAAAACAACAAGAGTCGAGAAAGGCTGGTAAGGATGAAGGACACGAGGACACAAGGCTGGGGGACAGCTTCACGCCTAATTCTACCCGAACACACCCCAGCCTCCATGGCTTCCCCATCAGCAGAGGCTCCACAGTTTCTTCCTGGGATTTCAGCCAGAGCCTCTGTTGGAACTCCCTCCTTCCATGCTCACCTCCTACAACAGGTGGTTCTCCACACAGCCGTCAGAGTGGTCTCTCTGCAAGAGAAGTCCACTCCCTTCTCTCCTTGCTTAAAGCTCCAACCCCAAACTCTTCCTCTTGGCCAGCCCCTGAGGCCCCATGGGGTCTGGCCTGCTTACCTCTCCCACCTGCCTTTCCTCTCCAGAGCTCTTGATTCCTCTTTTCCAGACCTTTGTCTGCCTGTTTTTTTTCTGGCCACTGAAGGCTTAGCTCACTTCGTCACTTCCTCAGATGCCTTCTCTGACCACCCACACCAAAGTGGTCCATCCCGGCTCGGCTCCTATCACAACCCGTTTATTTTTGTCCTAGCGTGTATGCCTCTTCTTAATTTATTTACATTTATGTGTTTGTTGTCTACCCTCTACCTTCTCTGCTTGAAATTTAAGCTCCCTGGGGGCAGGGGCTTTAACTGTCTTGATGATTCCCCAGAGAGGGGAAACAGGGTCTGGCTAAGAAAAGATACTCAAATGCTTTATTTGTTGACTAAGTAATAAACATACAATGACCCCGTCCTTAGGCTGGTGGGTGTCCTCTTGGTGGAAGTGGGAGCAAGAATGGAAGGGATCCTAACCAACCAGCTCTTCCTTCTTCCTGGGGGCTTCCCTGTGCCCCTACACAGGGTAACTATGGAGGCAGGCCCTCCCTCCAGAGAAAGCACACCTCACAAGAAATACTTTGGGCTGTGATCAATTGCTTGGCAGGGTTCTTCATCAACTTGCTTTGAATATTAGAGGTGCCAAGTGCTTTAAAATACACATTTATAGGGGCGCCTGGGTGGCTCAGTCGTTAAGCGTCTGCCTTCGGCTCAGGTCATGATCCCAGAGTCCTGGGATCAAGCCCCACATCGGGCTCCCTGCTGGGGCGGGGGGGGGGGGGAAGCCTGCTTCTCCCTCTCCCACTCCCCCTGTTTGTGTTCCCTCTCTCACTGTGTCTGTCAAATAAATAAATCTTAGAAAAAAAAATACACATTTATAGATAATTGCCTTCTTGACAGAGGGATGGGACTGAGGGGTTTAAGAATCAGAAGCCACCAGCAGCTAAAGAAGAACTCCATGAAAAGTCAGCAGAAAACTATTCTGAAGTGATCGAATGAGTGAGCAGGACACGAAGTCCCTTGGCAAAGACAGGCAGGCAGCATGTATGTGTTCAGGAACACAACTAAGGCACAAAAGCAACCATCCCCAAACTGATCTAAATCAAGAATCCCCAGTTTATTGTTAAAAATACACATTCCTGGGGCGCCTGGCTGGCTCAGATGGTAGGTAGAGCATGTGACTCTTGATCTCGGGGTCATGAGTTTGAGCATAGAATTTACTTAAAAAGAACACACACATTCCCCGTCCCCACCCCTGGAGAGTCTAATTCCA